AGGGGTATTACGTGCGCGTTGCCGACCTCTTTACTTCCTTTTTGAAGAACTCCGTGCCGTAGTCTCTCGGGAAAACCTCGGCAGGGTTTTCCAAATCGGTTTATAACTAAAGGATTTATAAGGTTACAAATATATATAAAAAAAAAATTACAACCGAACATTCTACCTTTTTAAATTGGTTCAAAATAAGCTAATTACAACGTGAACATACAATAAACGCAGTGATTACGAATTTACATGATAATATGACAAATAAATGGGCCACGGACGAGAACTGCCATTTGAACTGGCCATTAAAACAACGAACACATTTTGTGTGTACAATGCATCTCTTTACAGTATGTCGCCATCTATATCAATACTGTCTATATTTAATTGAGTCGTTTGCTTTTAAAATAATACCAGTATAAAGATTACAATAGATTACAATAGTAAACTTGTTATAAATATAAATAATTACAAGAAATAATCACAATGAGAAAACAATGGGCGACCTTATCGCTAAAAGCGATCTCTTGCAGGCAACCTTTGGATGTAGGGGAGTAATAAGTCTAACCTGTCTTTATTAGTAATACTGCGGAAGTAAACTCTTGACAAAAAAACAGTAACTAATGATGTCATTTATCTTGTTTTAAAACGAATAAAATGCACCTATGAGTTGAGAGTTTTAATCACATTTATTATTAATAAATGGTCATTTTTTAAATTTATCGAACATTGGATAGGAGCCATTTATTTAAAATATTATTTGAATTTAAAACACGGAAGCATGTATCAAATGGTGCAACTAATTGAAATGTTGTAAAAAAGAGAGTTTGATCATGTAGTGTTGATATTATATTCATATTATGTGAATATCATGGTGTGAATTTACAGGGTACAGAGGAATACCATCTGAGTCCTCAGGAATGGCAACGCATGGAAGGTATCATGGGCCAAACAGTATACTCTGTTATGTCCATCAGGTGGGCCGTCAGCTTGTTTGCCAAATCTAAGTTGTAAAAAAATATATATATCTACAGACAAAATTAATATGGTATCGATATTGGAGCGAGCCCTATCCGTTACAATAATGATCATCAAAATCGATTTAGAACTGGTGAAGATATTACGCAATTCGCAGTAACACACAAAAATGCTCTTCATTTTGGAAGTCGTAAGAAAGACAGTGTGTATTATTGTGGTTATCTGCGGTTGCAAATCCGCCTGGCAAGCGTAGCAGCTACTGGCAAAATCCCCTAAAACTGCTATCAAAATAATCCCGTACCTTATGACAGTCTATGGAGGAGGCCTGTGTTCATCAGTAGACAGATAACGGTTGACATGATGATGATGATCATAGTGGTTACGGGAAAAAAATTGTTTAATCAAATTGAGATATACATATATGAAGTTAAGTTCAAAATACTACATTTATATATATATATATATATATATATATTCTTTATTGCAGTAAAACATACAGTAACAACAATAAGCTAATAACAATGTTAACAAAGGTGAACTTATCTCTAAAAGAGATCTCTTCCAGTCAACCTAACACAGTGGCATAGGAAGTAGTGAGTGGGCAGTAGTAGTGCAAAACGGAAATTAAAATAAATATTTACATAAATTATAAATCATTATATATTTCTTGTAATTATTTATTTCTCTAATTACCAAAATAATGTAAGGTAATATATATGCACGATAAAATAAAATCAAAATAGTATTTTGAATTTCTTATATATTTATATATATAATATATATATATATATATATATATATATATATATATATATATATATATATATATATATACATTATAACACTATATACAGTAATTTAAATTTTTCTGTACTATATCTAGTTTGTATCGTACTTTAGCCTTTTAGACAGGGGGGACGGCTTGTTAGTAAGGGTAGATAATATATAGCAATACCTGTATATTGTAGTTACAATATCTATACATATATTGGCTCATAACAGATATATTAGATATCGCTTACGCAATATATACTATCGAAAAGAAGAACTCGTTTATAATGAATATAGATAGCCGACTGGTATGGGCGATACCCCAATAGGTGGACATCAACGTCCAGAAGTATTTAATATATACATATCTGATATTACGCATATCTAATTGCTAGTAATATATAATCAATTAACCTCCGCGCGGTCTCCTCTGGATACCGTCGCGTCGTGGTTAACTCCCTGTGAATTCGTCACGTTGGACTAAATGATTTTTATAACTTTATTCTCATCACGTATCATCCCTCACGGGTGGCCCGCCAGCGTATCCTGTAAAAGTTCTATGATATTTATTTATTTATTTATACTTTTGTATACATCAAATATAGTCTACAGGGCGGACTTAATGCCTGATGGCATTCTCTACCAGTCGACCGTTACGATAAACAGAAAGAGTGGCAGTGCATAGGTTTAAAAAAAATTGTAAACTAAATAAATATTTTGAGAGATAACAACAATTTATGATTAATAAACATATAGAATAATATGTTTATAAAAAATACACATACATAAATCACATACAATACATATATAAATAACTATACATAGTATATATAAAATTAATAAATATATAAATCATAACTAATTATATAATAGTCCAGATTGAGGTTTTTCATTGTTGTGATAAATTGAAGTAATGTTCACGAAGGGACTTTTTGATGGAAAATTTGGTTAGGGACTTTTTGACATCTTAGTGATGAGGAATGGTGATACATTCACGTTTGTATTCCAACTTCGTCACAACACCTAATTATACATATTACATTAATCTCTCAAAGCCGGACAAAGAGCCTTTCATTCCCACATTTAGTTTTTTACATTCAAAATTCCTCGACGGCGTTTTTATAACTCAAATATTTCTACAGCAAACAATACGTCTCTTCATTAACATAACGTTTAACATGTAGACTGCAACGATTGGGACAGGCCGACTGTCACACGGCTGACATTACGTGGAACAGGTAAAAGTGTGGAATCGTCAAATAAAGAAAATTAAATAAACCGTCTGGGCTGTCTACGAATCGACGTGAAATTGATAAAAACAAAAAGTAGGCGGCGCGGACTATACAGGATGTTGTTGGTTAATTAGACAGTTTTAATATTTCATACTATGCTAATAAATAGTACATATACTGAAGAAAGCTTAAAAAATGTATTTACTACTTATAAATGGGCATGAAAATATGGATACCGATTCGATATCTATATATCGTATTCTTCTAGATGGAAATGGTGGAAAAATGGTCATCTCTCATTTCGATATCACTCATATCGGCCGGATATCTTTTTTCGAATATGTTAAAAGAGATTTATCGAACAAGAATGAATGGAGATGTCGGTAGGGGCCGCCCTAGACGGACGTATGTTGACCAAATAGGCGATGTGCTGAAGAAGGGCAAATTAAAAATACCCGTAACCGGCGAGCGTGTATAAAAAGATTGATGAATATGAAAGAAGCGAAAGAGGTTTGTTTGAATCGAAACATTTGGCGTTCCATTGTTTCTGCCTATCATAATGGGAGACAGGCGTGACAGATATATATGTATGTATGTATTAAAAGTCTGTAATCTAATATATTTTATGGATTTTACAGATTTTTAACATATTTGTTACTGGACCAAGTATATAGATATTGTAACTAAAATATATAGGTATTGCTATATATAGTACTACTCGCCCCTACTTGTAAACTAATAATTCGGTACGCATAAAAACTGCTGTTCTAAACATACTGAGTGTTTGTCCCAGCTTTATTGTTACTTCCATATGGGCTATGGCAAATAGTACTTATATGTCTAAAATAGTTATGTATATACATATATTTAACAAGAAGAATTTTGTCGGATCCTTGCGGTTACTCCATAGCCCGCGTCATGTTTTTGATAATTATTCCAACAGGTTACATTCCTTGACAGGTATGTACCTGACTTGTCAGTGTATCCATTGAGTTTCACTCGCACAGTTATTCAACCTTGTATATTTTTGAATATTCTTATGTATTAGTATATCGAGAAATAACAGCTGTTTAACGGATATTGTTATTATGTCAAAAAATATCACGAGCCACAGGATTTCTTATCAATTGCTGTAACTGACATTGTTTCACAGTCAGATAAAAAATAAGCTAATCCGAAATTTTAAATGATAATGCAGTAAGCTCTGATTTTTTGCTATTTCAATGGATGGATGTACCTTATTATTAAATACATGCACTTATCGAAGTGAATTTGCTTATTGAAGGTTGTTGAATTATAAAATACTAACGAGTCGCCCCAGCTTTGCATATTTTTTTAATAATATCAATCCACATTGCTCGTTGGTAATTTGGAATATTTTTTGAATTTTATTCTTTTTAAACAAATATATTAATTTTGTCTTTATATTATTAATTTAAAAGAAAAATATTAGCAGATATGTATACATATAAGTTGAGAAATATTAAATACTCTGAAAAACATTGAAATAGTCTAATTTTTACTTAAAATTTACTTTCTCCCACGCACAACCACTCTTTGGAATCAATTTCCAGCAGCAGTATTTCCGGACCGATAACATAACCTTCAAGAAAAGAGCATATTCTTTTTTAAAAGGCCGGCAGCACACCTGCAATGCCGCTGGTGTTGTGGGTGATCATGGGCGGCGGTAGTCACTTACCATCAGGTGAGCCGTATAGTTGTTTGCCTCCTGTGTAGTAAAAAAATAAAAATTCCAATAGAAATCAAATTGAGGCAATTAGAAAGGTGTGAAACGGCATAGACACTTAGTATAACAATTTGTAAATGATGTCTTTATAAACGTGACTGTTAAAAAATTTATAGCTAGCTAAAACAAACACGCTGTAGGTAAAACGCGACTGTTACCGCGCGAAACACAAGTGTCAATGTCTCTACGCTTACTGCAAAACAAATCAGTTGGCCATACAGATGGGCAAAGCACCGGGTTTAAACCCGGTGCTTTGGTAAAAACCCAATAAACACCCATAAACTCCCATAATCACCCAAAAAAATAGGTTTTTACGTATTTTTTTGAAAATATGTAAGTAATACCAATAAATTATTTTTATAAATTGTATTGATCAATTCTACAATATTAAATAAAACGTTAACTAATAATATTTCAGGAAATTTTAAAAATCTATATATAATAAAATGAAAGTAATTAATTTTCAGTGTTTTCATGTTGCAGTTGATCAACATGTTGGCCTTTTGCTTCCCGTAGATACTTTAAAATTTCTTCATAACACCTCGTTCGCACACATGGCCGTATATATTTAAATTCTTGAGCCACTAACAGTCCGAAATACTCATTTCTTTTATCCTCTTCTCCATAAATTAAGCATTTAGAACAGTTTGTTTCTTCTTTCAGTAAATTTTCTTTTACTTTATCCTCGTTTTTTTCTTTGTTGCGACGACGCTGGGTAAATCATCTGGACACTGGGTCTCACTATCGCCAAATATATTTGGAGATCGGCTTCGGCTACGGCTTGGCAGACATTTTTTTCTTTCTACAATTTTAAATTAAATTTATTAGAATAAATGCTTCGAACACACGCGATCTAAGTACCTTTTGTGTTTATTATACCTTACCTACCTAGGTATAAAAAGAGTACTTACGTAGATTTTCTTTTATTAACTGTTTTATACGAAGATCTTGATCTCTTAAATTAGCATCCATTTTACTTCCAGTGATTATCAACTAAATTAATAATCCACAAAGTATTAAATAACGTTTTTATGAAATATTTAGCACAAAAACAATACCCTTTAAATATCGATCGTCAGTAACTGTGGCTGACTTACCTATATTCTAGCAAGCAGGACTGCCAGATGTGAAGGGGAAATCCCCAATAAATTGTTGCATGTGACTGATGATGTGAGCATGTTCGTTTCATAATAAAAATGTTGCCAGGTAACCAAAAAGTCGTATGTTTTTGTGCGAATTACGATCATAATCTTTACGATCGTACATTAAAAAATAGACAAATAATAGTATGAGTACGATTTAAATCGTATATCTGTCAACCCTGCTAGCAAGACAGCGACAAAATCACGTTGCATAACAATGTAGCCCAAGCTTATATCTTATGAAATATACGGAAGAGATACGGACTTAGAAAAAACAGAAATGTTGTTCTTTGTGGAAGTCATTGATGAAATTCTATGTATTTTAGCCCGCAAACTTTCTTCAAACAAAAACAGCGCCATCTAGTATCGAGTTCTGTAATTATCTCTTTGTTTATGGATTTGAAGTAAGACCGCCACGCATGCAATACATTATGACTGGGGATTCCCCTATTCGTCGACGCTGAATATGAGGCGACGACAATCACTGTCAAACGTGTTCACTATTACTCTGACTCTGGTAACGTGACTTCCTGGTAACGTGTTAGGTAGGAAAAGCAGTAAAAAAGTGCATATTAAGGGAGCAGATTTGAAATAATATTTATACTTAACAAGAAATAATTAAAGGTAAGTGGATTTTTGAATGATACAATTATATCATGATCACTTAACAATTTTAACTTAAAATTAGATGTATTATTACAAGCTTTTATTTAGCTTGCGTTATGTAAATAAAAGTATGTAGGTATGTTCGTATGTTGATGCAATTATCCTCAATCCTCAACCGACTGGGATAAAATTTTCCATACACGTTTATTTTGGATGATAGTGCATAGTTAGCTGAGAGTCGTCATTGGATAATAATGGTGGATAGCCTAAGATGTGTACTAGATATTTATTTTTAACATAATATGCGTAAGTACCTAATCGAATTAAAGAAGTTGCTGAGAAAAATACAGAACAATACGATAATAAACTAGCGTCTGCGTTTAATCCTCCGAGGAGATGTAATTTTACAAAGGTTTTTTGTATTTATTTTATTATTTTTTTAATAAATTTATTGTAAATAACAAGAAATAATCATTGTAAAAAAATAGGCACTCTATTGTTGAATTTTCGTCAGACCAACTAATCATCGTTCATTTTTTTAGGTTCAATGGGGAGACCTAAAGATTTACGCATATGGGAGCACTACCGTACTTTACCAAACAAGTCTGTTTCTTGCAAGCTTTGTAATAAGGTCTACAAATTCAGTAATGCTGCCAAAATGCTTCAACATCTTATCACTTGTCCAAAATCTCCAGAAACATTAAAAGACTCTATGAAACTTATAAAAGATAGCTCGTCCAAAACCAAAATGTCTGGACTGTCAGAGATAGAGACAAATGATTCTTTTATAAGCCCCTCGTCGTCTGCTAACACTACAATAAATGCTGAGTTTCAAGACACCGATGATCATATAAAAACAGAATTAGCGAGAGCTATATTTGTAACAGGGACGCCATTATCGATGGTGCAACATCCTTTATGGATACAATTTTTCGAAAAATTGCAACCAAAATTTAAAATACCTTCACGTAAAGCTTTAGCGACAAAATACTTAGATAAAATATATAGAGAAATGCGTTTTGAGTTAAATGAGGAACTAAATGCTTGTAGTTACTTACACCTTCAGTGCGATGGCTGGTCTAATTTAAGAAATGAAGGAATAATAAACTTTCTTATATCAAAACCTCAACCTGCATACGTTAAAAGTTTGAATACAGAAAGTAATCCTCACACTAGTGAATACCTTAGCCAAGAAGTTGAAAAAGTAATGAAAGTGTATGGAGCAAATAAGTTTCTTGTACTTATTGGCGATAACGCTAGAAATATACAAAAGGCATTCGAATTAACAAAACTCAAATATCCACATGTTGTTCCTCTCGGTTGCTGTGCACATATCCTTAACTTGTTGTGCCAAGATATTGTAAAGATACAAGAAGTAACTGTGTTTATTATGCAAGCCATAAATATAATAAAAACTGTTAAAAGGAGTCAACGATTAAGTTCCTTGTTGATAAAATCAAGGCAGGGTGAAGATTCTACACAAACACTAAAATTGCCTTGTGCTACAAGATGGGGAAGTCATGTTACTTCGTTAAAAAGTTTGAAAGCAAATAAGATAGCTTTGCAAATATTAACAGTTAGAGAAGATGTGGTAATTTCAAGAGATATTAAAGATTTAATTCTAAGTGATGATTTCTGGACGAAAACAGGGGAATGTATAAGTATTTTGGAACCAGTCACTGAAAGCATATTTTACTTAGAGAGCGACCAGAATCGTTTGCATCGCACATACATTACATTTAGAGATGTACAAGCTAAGATACGTTTTGCATTAAATGAGATTTCGACATTGAGCGAAGAAAGCAAACAGCAGATTCTAACATCAGTATCTTCAAGATGCAATATGGCAATGAGGCCAATACATTTTGCAGCATATATTCTAGACCCCAGGACTCTAGGAGTCGAACTTACTCAAGAGGAAGAACTTAAGGGTATGGAGTTTATCTACAATTTAAGCCAACACTTAAGTTTGTCAAATGTAATGGCAGATTTGGCGTGTTATAAAGCTAAAGAAAACTTTTGGGCCAGAGGATTTGTATGGAGCTCATTAGATAGCATTGAGCCCCTAATATGGTGGAAAGGTATTTGTGGTTCCACTGAGTTAAGCAAAGTAGCGATTCGTATTCTATCAGCTCCCTGTACTTCGGCAGCCACTGAGCGTTCCTTTAGTATCCAAGGCTACATACATAATAACAAAAGAAATCGACTTACAACTGAAAGAACTGAAAAAATTTCATTCATTTGTTATAACTGGAATCTTAAACATAAAGCTGAATGCGAGGACATTCAGTTTAATGAAGAAAATACCTTAGAAGCTTTCATTGAGCAAGTAAATGAACATAACAGTTTAGACGAAATAGAGCCTATCGAACCTATACAATTCATCGCTTGTAATAACTCTGAATCTGACAGTGATTGACTGTAGTTTTACATTTTACTTTCATCTCTTTCTTAATAAACTCAAAATCAAATTAAAAGTTTTTTATTCTGTAGGCTGCATAATAATATTGTCTATGTCCAGTATAGTGGACGTCTTGCGGCTGAGATGACGATGATGAAGTACAAAATCATAAACACCCAAAAATTTGGGTGTTTATGGGGTTTAAACCCAATAAACCCAAAACACCCGGTTTTTACCCACCAGACTTTAAACCCACCCAGGTGGATTGCCCATCTCTAGTTGGCCATCGTTTTTTTACGGCCCCCAGCCAGCCACCGTGGTGTAGGTAACAAAACAAAACAATCATACGATTTTAGATTCAGAAAAAGATTCATTTCAATTTGTATTGCAATATTATTGTGTAAATAGTTTTTAGTTTAAATACTCGTAACATTTAAAATTTATATTGGTTTTCCTTGTAATTAATTCTTGTTTACAAAAAATAACTTGGATATTTTCTGAATACCTTTGACAAGTTTGACGAAATAATTCTCTTAACATGTAACAAGTAGGGGGGAAAGGGATTGTTAGCAATGGAGTTTGATAGCCCCATTGCTAGCAATATGTCTTATTAGGTCGACCTCCACGTGCTTCCCCCTGGAAAATATCGTGAACAATTCTTGTCGAATTCGTCACGATGGGCTAACTGACCTACTTCATCCTCACCTATCATTCTTCACGGGTGCCTCGCCGGTGTATATCGATAGCGCGGGTGGGGTTACCACTATCTTTTAAAAAAAAACATGTAACAAGTTTCGGGCAACAGTTTCATGTCACAGGTATGTCATGAATGGATTAAAAATTTAGTGGTATATATATTAAAATCAATCGCTTATTACTTTCACTGTCTTTTACAGTCTTTTCCACAATCTTTTACAGTCTTTTCCACAATCTTTTACAGTCTTTTCCACTATCTTTTACAGTCTTTTCCACAATCTTTTACAGTCTTTTCCACTATCTTTTAATTAATACTAACCTTCATAACGGTCCGGTCTCAAAATCATATTCCGCGCGCCATTAGACGTTTCCCACTTATACAGAGGACAAAGAATATAGGTCGGAAAAGGGCTCGACCCTGCGTCCCTGACCTCACTGTAATGGGTTTTTTCTGATACGCCATGAGGGGTGTAGGTTAGTTTCTTATAAGCATAAATATCATATGTAATTATAGCATATATATATGATGACAATAGAATGTTTACATCGTCAATCGGTTAATGGTAGCAGGGTTTTTTTTTAATGGGTGATGATAGAATGGTAACCCTGTCTGCGCTAACGTTATACGCTGGCGGGGCACCAGTGAGGGATAATAAGTGAGGATGAAAAGAAAGGTCAGTTAGTTCATCGTGATGAGTACAGCTAGAATCTAGCACGATGGTTTCCAGTGGGGACCACGTGGGGGTCGATCTGGTTGAGTATATTACTAGCAATAATGGTAGCAGGCTATTAGAGGTGAAAGGTGAGGATGAAAGTCAAATCAGTTGGCATTATCACTTACTAGTACTCCTCCACCGTATGGCAATAGTGCTAAAGTGATTGTCATTCCATTTTATCCTATACAAAAACTCTGTACAAACAGTAACAAGTTTGTAAGTAGAGTTGTTTCAATCAAAATAGAAAGTAAATAATTAAAATGCGAAAAGTGTACATATCTTACCCTTAATTCGCCTTTAGGGTCAACTTAAAAACTATCGCACGTCGACACATCGGGATCTTTTGTATATATGGGATACCCTGCCCTTATTAATTAATTTTATAGATTCTATGCATTATCTTTACGATATCCCGCGGTTAAATATTTACACGGGAAAGGAATGGGTGTCCTATTCTACGTCGGGACCACACATCCATACTGACACTATTATGCCTCCTCAAATTCTTTAAGTTTTGAATGGCATATAAGATTAACCCTGAATTAACTTTTGTCGACACGAGCGCTTTTATAGCCGCTTGACTGTAACTTAGAACATAAAAGTATACATTGGTACCAACTTTGAAGTCTTACTCCGTCACAATTGGGATATTTACATGCAATTGACTGATATCTCTTTAAATACTCTATCGGAATTTAACGCGATGAAAAATCTTGCTGGTAAAAAAAAAAAATTTTGAAAAATTTAAATATTTTTTTTGTAAAATTTGGGATTTTTTAATGACTTTTTTTATACAACTTAGAATGGCAAATAAGCTGACGGCCCACCTGATGAAAAGTGGTAACCTTCGCCTATAGATATGAGCAGTATCATGGACATAACAGAGTATACTGTTTCGTCCATGAAAAAAAAAACTACCGCCAGCATCAGCATTTGTATCTATTTTTAAGGGAAATATAGCTACTTGAAAATTTTTAAAAAATTTGACATTTTTTTTTATCCCTTAATTTTTTCCTCTAGTGTAGTACCTACATACCTGCTTCTTTATTGACATTGTCATAAACAACGGCAAAGTTTAAAATTAACTATTGGTAAGTATTTATTTATTGGCAATAATAAATGTATCGTATCTGTAAATATTAGCATGGTTTGATAACAATGGTTATTTGTACAGTGTTATCGCATTAATCTAATCGTTGAGTACGAAACACCAGCCCCTATTCACATTTCAAAAGACGTTATAGTTTAAATTAATTTCTTCACAACGATATAGCGTAATTTTATATTATCTACATTTTTACATTTGTGTTTACAATATTTTCCTCCTAGGTGTATAATGGCATTATTGATTCTTAGAACATTTTTTACGCATATCTAGTAGTTGATCGAGGAAAATGAAAAATAAATAGGTATTGTTTATATCTGTTATGTAGCGCCAGCCACAGATAGACAGATAAATAGACAATCTTTATTGTTTTCTTCAAAAGATTACAACAGTGAACTAGATAGGTAGATATAAACAATTACAAGAAATGATCACAGTAAGAAAACAATGGGCGACCTTATCGCTAAAAGCGATCTCTTCCAGGCAACCTTTGGATGGAGAGGAGTAATTATAAACAGTTTGAACGGAGGCACGATGAAAATTCTATTATTTCTAAATATGGAGATTTAATACATGCCATCTCAAGGAGAATTTTTTTTTTATACAACTTAGAATGGCAAACAAGCTGACGGCCCACCTGATGAAAAGTGGTAACCGTCGCCTATAGACATGAGCAGTACCATAGACATAACAGAGTATACTGTTTCGCTCATGATACCCCCCATGCGACTCAGGTGTTATTCCTCTGTACCCAGTAAATTCACGCCATATCGCACCTTTCAAACCGAAACACAGCCATGCAAACACAACTGCTTCACGGTAGAAACACGAATAGGACAGAGGTATCCAAGCAATCGACTTTTGTACAAAGTCTCCCTCTGGTAAAATCGGATTGGAAAATACTTAAAAAAGATATTTTTTTATATCGGTCCCATAGAAATGTTATCAAACACAGTTCAGTAGTTTAGTTAATAAATCTAAATAACTGTTTTTGCCACAATAGAAGTAAATAGGTTGTTTTTATGAGGTACAATAGTAAATTATCTTTCTTCTTATAAAAGGCGTAGTCGAAACATATTCACGGATTTTAAGAAATGAGTACGCTAATATCGTCTTAAGTGAGAGCAAGCTTTAAGAACAGCAACGGTACCATACGACGACAGAATTAAATATGAACACCATAAAATGCCAAAATAATATTTTTCAGTCGACTTTTTATGACTTTGTTACAACAATTTGTTATTATGCAGTGTTAAATATTGAAATATCGTCATAGTCGTAGAATACTGACGGATCTATATATGTAATATTGTCAGATCCGTCAGTATTCTACGACTATGACGATATAAAAGTGAGAAGTGAGAGACCCTGTGACACGTTGACCAGGCATGTGGTCTGTTACAATCACCACATGACAGCAACTGCATGTCTATGTTATATAAGTGTATGCAATTGCATTCGAGAGTGATTTTGTTTTTATATAACACTAGCGGCCCGTCCCGGCTTCGCACGGTTAGACATTTTTACAACATTTTAAAAAGTGGTTATTGTGACATAACGATAATAGTTGGACATATAGTATCGTGAAGTTTTTTGTAGTTATTGATGTTTTCTTCAATGTTGTAGAACATACTTTTGTTCTATCACCAATAGTTTCCGCAGCGCACGCGACGAAAGATATTTTATAGCATTTTTTTTACACCTTGAGTTACGTTACTAAAGTTTTAGTAAGGATCCCTAAGCTTTTCTAGCAATAAATATAGCTTATGTTACTCAAGGTGAATGTAGCTTTATAATGGTGAAAGAGTTTTTGAAATCGGCAAACTAGTTTTTGAGTATATAATAAATAAATGCAAACATACATACAAAAATACAAATCTTTCCTCTTTATAATATTAGTGTAGATGTTCTTAGTATCAGCTATCTATACAATGTTGATTCAATATCTTATTACGATAATAAAATATAAATAATTAAATTGTAACTATTTATTTTTTATTGGATAAAAATGGAATGGCCACCCTGCCTGCGCTATCAGGATACGCTGACGGCGCACCAGTGAGGGATGATACGTGAGGATAAAGTAGATCAGTTGGCCCATCGTGATAAATTTATCAAATATTAACCACTATGGTTTCCAGGGGGAACCGCGTGGAGGTCGACCTGTAATTGTAACTGGTCGATGTTTGTATATGGTATTCATTTAAGAATGATGATAATGTTTGTTTATGGCAATCATTTGTGAATTAATGATTAATTTAAGAAAAAGTGATATAAGAGCAAGGAAGTCAAAACAATATTTTTTTGAAATTCTGATTTTTTTTGTATTATACTACAAAGGTGGCAAACAAGCATACAACCCGCTTGGGGTTAACTGTCGCTGTAGCGTATGGACGTAAGCAACACTAGGGGTGGCACGTGCGCGTTGCCGACCACTAAGAAAACTTAATACACTACGCACGCACGCACGCACGCACGCATGCACGCACGTACGTGGATTATAATAATCGATTCTCGACGATTAAGCAACACTGGCCGCCTCGTACTGCGGCCCGTACACACTTGTTATCAGTTGACCGTTATCAGTATCGAAAGACTATTGATAAACGTACTTGTGTACTTGTTTTATTATTGTTCATATTGTTATGTGCATTGTTCAAGGGCGTTTCTTTTTTTCAAATGAATGAGATCCCCAATTTGCTTATATTTCTGTGTGTATATATTACGCGATATCTCTGGTAATTTTAGACCAATATTGAT